ATATGTTTATTTAATTTTTTCAAATTTAGTATAAATCGCATTTTGCCGTTAGGTTTAGGTACCAGAAATACACGAGAAACATATTGGCCTTGGCAAGGTTCACACGGAGAGATAGCTCCAATAGATAGTAAGTTTTGAATAGATTCTGAAAAATGAGATCTTTCAGACTCAGTCACTAATGTAACGGGAGGGTCTAACTGATTAACTGGCTCATCGAAATCTATTTGATATCCGTCAATCCATGAAAGGACCGCTCGATCTTGTGTGATGAGCGACCACTGACTATAAAAATGACGCAGTCTACCTGCGTAGCGTACCTCGTCGGCGGCTAGCGCCTCCTCGTCTCCCTGCGCCGATAGGACGACGCGGTCGAGTAGTGGCCGCGCGCTGGCTGCGGCGGCGGCGGCGGCGGCGGCTGGTAGCTCGTCGTCGCTCGAGCTGCAGGCGGCTGGTGTCGCGGCGGGCCCGGCGCCGCCCGACGATTCCCGGTGCCCGACTTGCGGTTTAAATTCTTGTCTTGCTTGGGTTTCTTGGCGGAGTCAGCCTTCAAATCTGAAGACGATTTGGAGACGGCTTTTGCTGTTTTCAGGGTTTCGGTTAGATTTTGTCCAAATAAATATCCATCTATCTTGGTACTGGCTAGTTGTTCTCGTAATTCTTTTTTCAGAGAATAGAGTGCGTGGTTTCGTCTGGAACTAGACTGCAAATATTGGACGTCGCATAGGATTCTGCCGACATCCATGAGACTTTTAACTAGTTCATTGTCTCGGGCAGGGTTGTTGATTTGAGCATTTATTATTTGCCCAACGCATGTGATAGCTGCTGCAATTTCCTTTTGGTTGATTTCGATCGACTTATCGCGCTTCTGCACGTACTCCGGAGTTGCGGCTTTTATCTCCGGATTCATTTGAGGGGCAGATAAGTTTTTGCAATTTGCGGGTACGAGATATTTTTGTAATAACTCCTTGCGAGTGTCTTTATCAAGACCCGATGTGGCCATGTAATTGAGGCGGTTAGCTAACTCTTCGTTTATATTAGGTCCGTATTCCACGGTAGCGGTCGGATCTATGCCCAATATATCCAGTATTTCAGGGTCCAAGCCCGTGTCCAAGCTTGCAGGAGTCTGCGTAACTTCAACACTCGCGGCTTCTTGAGGCTGCGTCGCGGGCACACTGTCCGATGTCCCGGCGACAGGTTCGTTTACCGAGGCAGGTATGGGCATGGCAGGGTCTGGACCCATTGAAGAGGCTTCTTTCCGCTGGTTCCGATCTGAGAATAGAACGGATTTACTTATATTGGTATTTCGCCAACATTTAAGCGCCATGGGCGCTGATTTCAGCTATCTCGTACTGATAACACCATAGGTGTCGAATGCAACAGAAAATTTCCATTGGAAATGCATTCTTTAACATTATAAGTTGTGGCACCATGGGTGCAGAATGTTGCAGAGATGACCGCATACATTCTGAGGCGACTGCACCTCACATCAGTCGTGTAGACTGGAAAGACACCATGGGTGTCGAAAATGCGGGTAGCATTTTGTAAAAACTAACCTTGGGATAACGCCAACAGGGTTTGTGGAGCTGGTGAAGAACTTCGTGAGCTTGCGGGTGAACTTTCTGAACTCGACGTACTGGTAGATGATTCCGAAAGCGTCGTTCGTCTTTTTGAGTGTTTCATCTTCTTTTCAAGTTTCTTCAATTTGCTTGCTAGGTATTCGATGGTATCTCCATGTCTTCTTTTCGGCATTTTGGAATGAAGCGTGCGAAGTGGCTGAGCACTAGTTTGCGAATGGCGAGAGCGCCACAGTGTCTCTTAGAGGCGGGGTCGGTTGGAGGGGGAAAATCGTGTTTCCGGTTCCTTTTTAATCTTTTAATAGAAACCGTCAGTTGTATCACTTCCGTTTGAAGATTTTAATCTCAAACCGGAAGTGATAAATAAATTTAAACTAAGTGCAAAAGTGGCTACGCTAGGCGTTACTACATAGTGTTGTTATAAAGTTAGGTTTAATATAAATAGGTAAGTATACTAATCTCGAGGACGAAGCACGTGTATAATCTTTTTTTGTTACCTTGATCAAAACATCTGTACATAATGTAAATAAGACCCACGCTGAACATAGTGAAAACATCAAATAATTTCACAACAAAATGACCCCCTGTCCTCACAAGCATTAATGCTGCTAAGCACTGACATAAATAAAGCTGTTTTGAAAGTATTTCCTGAATATTTTCTTGTCCCTCCACTGAAAAGCCCTGTAATCAATAAAAATACATCAATATTGTAGGTTTTTCTACAGTTTATTATAATACATGATGAAATAATATTTTGGAACACTTACACCATCAGCCATAAGAAAATGTACACCTTTGTCATTGGTTTGTTTTAATACATAATCTTTCAATGATGTTAAATTTTCTGGATCAAATATGTTTCCATCATTTTTAATGCCATAATATGCATCAAAAGTTTCTGGTGTTCCAGCATAGAAGTCGGACAGCTTGAAATCACAAGGTCCTTTTAAAGTAAATCCAAAACCTAAATTATGAAAAAAATATAAGTAAGATTCAGAAGTACAAATTTAATTTCAACAGACTCATTTAGCCACACAATAGATTTTCAGTTAATTTAATATTTGAGAGAATTATAATTTTCACCAACCTTTAGATTTCCATCCTTTTCTGTATAAAACATATTCAGAGAAACCCCCTGGTCCAGCACAAACATCCGCAAAATACAGTATATCTTTCTTATCTATAGCATTAGATCCATCAGGATTCTTCGGCTTTGTAAACATAAAATCGAAAACTGCGTCAATGTTCGCCATTTTCACAGCAGCCCGGTTCAAAAATATGACAGAACCAATAGTTTCATATGGATTACTTCGAAAACGTGCATGTCTTAAATCTTCATCATACAATGTATCAAAAATAGTCTGAAAAAGATTACATCAATATAAACTTAAAGTACAAAAGTTAATATTTTCATTAGCAGTGCCAAAGCCAAATAGTCTTCAAACTGTAAAACATGGCTATAAAAAAATTAAAATAATATTTTTTATTGCTTCTATAAATCTCACCTTGGAATCTAAGATTCCCTTTAGTATATGTGGCTCTACAAAGAGAGTTTCATCATCTATAGTTAATTTTTTTGGTCCTTTTTGAAGCCATTCCTCTAGTTGATCACCTAGTAATGGGTCATCTGGTGGAGATGGTATCCATACCTAAAATAAAATATGATGAATCCAATAAAATTTTGATTTTATGATCACACCATAATCACATAAAAAAGCATGTTGTAATTACCGGTTCCTCTTTTGCCTCTGGTTTCAAATCATCTGGAGACCATTTAAAGTCTGCAGGAACCTCACCAAGTACAGATGGTTTCAGACCCAATCCTCTACGGCCTTTTTGAGTTGAAGCCTCAACAGGTTCTATACGTCCATGTTCAAATTTACCTAAACCTTTTCCGGGTTTATAACCCATACTACTCATCATGCGTTTTGATTTCTCTGAGTAATCCATACTAAAAGCACCATCCATTTCATTTCCTTTAGTGGGGTCTCTATTATAAAATGTACTTTCATTATCTTGGAAGCTCGGTCTCATGGAAGTTTCTCCTTGATCATTGTCATCAAATCCTGGCCGATAGTCATCATAGTGATCATTTGGGGAAGAACAATTTTCACTAAGACTGCTTCGGTTTACTCTTGCACTGCCGGGTGGACTTTGTTCTGCATAATTAGGTTTATGGCCAGTATTTTGACCTTCTGTATAATCTCCAGTTGGTGTTTCTGCAGCAGAGTCATCATCAGACTCTGGTATACCTGAAAAACAAAACACATCATGAAAGTTTGGTAGCTACGCAAGCTAAATGAGGCAATTTAATTCCTATAAATATTGAAAAAAACTGACAAGGCTGAATAACAATAATACCTGAGCCTTGTGATGTTGTGGATGAAGCTCCAAATGTATCAGCTCGCAAGCGTTTAGCAGGGACTGGAACAAAGTCTTCACCACTGGAATCTTCATCTCCAGATGGATCTAAAAAAATTACAAAATTAATATGAATCTAATTTGTGTCTAACTATACATCTATGAAACTTATTTAATATTAATAAATATTTCAACTATATTATAAACAAATCATTTTTGTCCCCTTTAAATTACAAAAGTATTTTGCCATACAATGTTATGTTCTTGTACTTGTACATACATATTATATTAAACATAGTAACATCCAGACCCATATAATTAATTATAATAAATATTTTTATTCCTCTTTAATACAAAATACAGAAAGTTACAGTTTAAACAGGTTATTATAACAATTTTAGAGGATCAAAATTAAGTATTTCCTAGAGACTGGTCCTAGTACAATACAGACATACTACGATACCCTGTGTTACAGCACAGCTTCATATAACTTTAACATAGTTGTGAGGCCTTGAGACCTACTGCAGATAGAACACAGAAAAAATTTACCTTCATATCAATATCAACATTTTTTTCACTGGGAGTGGAGTTTTAAGTAAAGTGCTTGGCACTATGACAAAGCAGCCCATAAATTACTGTACATTATTAAGATGCGACAGTTTTTAGCATTATGTGCTAATACATAAGTAAAATGCTTCTTGCTTATTTGTTTTGTTAGCATTATGAGTACTGTTAATATTTTCAGGAATGTATACGTGCAATAATATTCCTATTTATAGCCCGCGCAAAGGCCGGGGAGTGTCGCTAGAAAACACTTATCAGTCTTGCAAAGATGCAGATAATTTAAAAATTAAAGTGATGATTTTTCATGATAACAAGTGGATATTGATAACTGAAAGCTATTATTCCATTAACCAAGGGTTTGTTTTAAAATACACGATGAAAAGTACCTCATTGAAATTTTAAACAGTTGATCTTAACATACCTGATAGATTCATGTTTTATTAGCTTTATTCGTACAGTTTTTTCGTCAAGTGTTGATTACTTTTCAACAAATTAACTACAAAATACACACTTTTCACCGAAATACAATCGTATTCGCAATGGTACTATTTATTTTTTGTGACATTGACAGAAAGAAGAGAACTACTCAAAAACTGTCATTCGGTCGATTGGATTTGGACGTACTTCACTTCATCTGTCTGTCTCTTTTACACTAATGAGATTTACGAGCAGTTGATCATATTTTCTCTCTATTTACGTCCGGGAAATACAGGCCATAGAGCTTTTTGAAATCCGTTTTCACTTTTCAGGGGAAATCTCCCAACATAAAGAAATCTGAAGAAAAAAGGTTACGAGCTCGCACATAACACATTTATTGCATTTGTTTGTTCTGCCCACATCCATATCTGTGGTTCTGCCCATGAGCTTCATGGTTCTGCCCTATTTGGGCCTCTGATGTTGCCCTTTGTTTCAGCATTTTTTTGTGTTGTATTACGTGCCTTTTGAACGCTCCGAAAATTAAATCCTTTTATAAATCCTTCACTTTTCAAAGTACCTATTTATATTTTTATTTGAGTAGTATAATCTTAAGTAGAATTTTGGTTTAATTCTCGGTAGAATCATTCTTTTTGTTTGAATAATTATAAAAAAAACAGCTGTATAATGAATGAATGAACTATTGGCTAAAAAGAAGAACCATATCCTTAAAAAATGTAAAAAAATAAAAAAACATCAAGCTGTCAAAAGTGACAGTTATTTGTTATGACATTTCATTAATGCGTGTTTGCTGTTCGGTTCGTTCGCGGTTTTTATTATTTTTATTATAATACTGTGATTTCTTCCTGATTTTATTAATTTATTTTTACGGCTGTATCACAGACTGTGAAAACATGACTCTAGGAGTAGGTGACGCCAGTAAAAATCTCCCATGGTTGGTGGTTTACAAAATTTTTTAGTTCCATGGCACATGAAAAATTGGCATACATATTTATTTATTTACGCGTTCTTATCTAATTACAGGGTAGAAAAGTATCGTCCGTCCAAGCTCGAAGACTTAGTGTCCCATGATGATATTATTAAAACGAGTAAGTTGCTTACTATATTGCTTAATACTGCTTTGTAACAATGTTACCAAAACTTGAATTCACCTATTTTATTATTTGTTTCAGTAAACCAATTCATGAAAGAAAACCAATTGCCTCACTTATTGTTTTATGGACCACCAGGAACTGGCAAAACATCAACTATTTTAGCGTGTGCTAGGCAGATGTATACACCTCAACAATTTAATTCAATGGTATGTTCTTTCTAAAGTTTTTCCACAGTGCACATGTAATATTTTTTAAAATTTTAAAGAATTTATAGTAAATTATTATTATTCAGGTCCTAGAACTTAATGCATCTGATGATCGGGGCATTGGTATAGTACGAGGGCAAATTCTTAGTTTTGCATCAACCAGAACAATATTTAAAGCTGGACCAAAGTTAATCATTTTGGATGAAGCTGATGCAATGACAAATGATGCTCAAAATGCCCTTAGAAGAAGTAAGTAAATGCTACAGAAATAATTTTCAATGTTTATGTTGAGTGAATTAATGCATTCAATCAACAGTTTTTTATTTTATTTACTACCTTGATTCTTTTATTATTTTAAATTTTTTACTAGTTAATTAATTAATATTTTGTTACATTTTTTGTTATTTACACTCCCATACAAAAAATTTAGTGAGGAGGCAATGTAAACATTGTAATGTAAAATATAAACATTGCTTTCTGGCATTGTTCATGTTAGAACAGTAACAGTAAAATTCAGTAAATAAGGTGATAGTTTGTGACACTTTAGTTTGTTCAAGACTAGAGTTGCCAAGTAAGGTGATTCACAAACTACTCATTGTATCAAAGTATGTTGCTAATAGCAACCTTAGTGAAAACAAATGATTGGATGTCTTTTTAAAAATATTATTTGGTAACTAAACTTCTCAAAGTAGATGCAAGTAAAAAATAATCTAAAATAAAAAGTTATTTGAATTATTATTGGTATATCAGTTATTAAATTTTGTTAAATGAATAATTTAAGTGTACCATATAAATTAAAATTATGTCAGACACCGAGGATGAGGATGTTCCAAATAGAACTGTTAAAATTACAGTTGTTGGTGAACCTTCAACTGGGAAGGTAAGTACCCAATTAATTTTATTTTTTATGGTTCATTACTCATATTCAAAGGTTTGTAAAGCTTTTCTATTAGAAGCATAGAAGTTTACAAGTTATCATCGTTACTATGTTAAATGAAGTGTTAAGTCTTAGAAAGGACTCATGTGGTCACCTTGGTATGCTCTGTTTCAGATCCTTCTAGATGCAATAGATTTTATTTCAAAATCACCTTTACAGCTGTAGACTTTGTGGCCAAGATCTGAGTTTGAGCTACAGCTAAGTTTTGTGTGCAATGATGATTAATAATCCTTTGAGTAACTGGCCACTTTTACTGGTTTTAAATTCATTGTAGAGGTTTTTTTTTAAATTACGAATTAGATAGTCTTGTGATCAATCTGGCCACTAATACTTTTTTTTTAAATCATTGTAAATATTTTTTATTTTTAAATTGCCAATCATCATTACCATGAAGGCCTCCATTGTAGACAAGTCTGTGCACGCGGTACTTGGGCGGCGCCGGGGCGGGCGCGGGCGGCACGCAGGGCGCCGAGGTGATGGCGGGGCAGTGCCTCGGGCTGCGGCCGCCGGTGCCGCTGCAGCTGTGCGATGTGGCCGGCAACGCGATCACTACTTGCATGCTGGATAATTATTTGTACTCCTCAGATGTAAGTTTTTCTTAAAACGACTAGCAAAATGTTGCAGCAAATATAGCTTGAAAGTTGATGATGATTAAGCTAATGTTGTTTTCCAGGTGGTGATATTTGTTTATGATTTAACGAACCTCCAGAGTTTCGAAAAGCTAAGCTTGTGGATAACAACAGTAAAAGATATATTTAATTCTGAAATCAAAAAACCTCTGATGGCACTTTTTGGGAATAAGTCTGATCTAGAACATCAAAGGGCTGTGAGGCTGTCCTGTGTGCAGAAGTTAGCTTCAGAGTATCTATTGGAAAATTTCAAGGGTTCTGCTAGAACTGGAGAAATGGTGAGTCTAAAAATTAACACACATCATCTACCCTTTCTTGTGATGCAGTAGACATGCTAACACAAATCATACGGATACTATAGTGTTATGGGCGTATAACTGAACATGCTCTCAGAATGTTCGTTCTTTCGTTCGTTTCAGCCAAATGACGTCCACTGCTGGACAAAGGCCTCCCCCAAGGTTTTCCACAATGAACGGTCCTGCGCTGCCCGCATCCAGGCTCTTCCCGCGACCTTTACCAGATCGTCGGTCCACCTAGTAGGAGGCCTGCCCACGCTACGTCTTCCAGCCCGTGGTCGCCACTCGAGAACTTTCCTGCCCCAACGGCCATCGTTATGTTTACGAGCTATGTGCCCCGCCCACACTGCCACTTGATTTTAGCAATTCTGCGAGCTATGTCGGTTACTTTGGTTCTTCTGCGGATCTCCTCATTTCTGATTCGATCACGCAGGGAAACTCCGAGCATAGCCCGCTCCATCGCCCTTTGGGTGACCTTGAGCCTTCTTATGAGGCCCATAGTAAGCGACCACGTAAAAACTCAGTAAAACTCATTTATTTGTGTAAGTAGGCTTTAAAAAAGCACTTTTACGCTCAGATCCGTATACCATCACTGGCAACACACACCTGTCACAAATCTAGTGTCTCAGAATGTAGTTTATTATAATCTCTTGCAATTAATACCCGCCGTTTGGTCATCGACAGATGCTCGGGCCATGAGCGGATGCCATGATAGGAAGAACCCGGATTAACTCACTGCCGATTGGTCTGAATAGTCCTTACCCTCTATTCCAGGTGAACAGTGCCTTCACAAGGCTGGTAGCGCGCGTAATGGGGGTAAACGTAGCGCGTGCATTAGCCCGGCCGCCCGCCGAGACCAACGGGGCCTCGCCGCGCCCGCTGGTAGAGGAACAAACGCACAACCTCATCATGACCAGAAAGGCGATGCGGAGAGCGCAGCGGAGATCCTCCTCGTCTATATGTTCCATTGTTTAAGTTTTAATAAAGCACTGATATTCATAAATTTGGTCTTTTATTCCCTATTATAGATATTAATGCTTTTGAGGTTCTTTCTAATCAACTGTAGGTAGTTTGTTATTCACATTGGGTGTTTTGTAGCTATGCTATCCGTCGAGTCGTTCTCGATTATTATGAATCTGCTATGAATGTTTTAATCTTATAGACCAAGGCAAATGATGGTGATTTATTTATTTACACAAATCGTTCCTCTTTTGTTTCTGTTGGTACTTTGCAAGAAACGTGGTCACACCTACAAGGTGGACCGACGACATCGTAAAGGTAGCAGGGAAGCGTTGGACACAGGCCGCTACCAATGGATCAACGTATTCAACGTGGAAAGCATTGGGGGAGGCCTATGTTCAGCAGTGGACGTCCTATAGCTGAAATGATGATGATAAAGATGATTGCAAGAAACGTACCAGGTTCTTTTCCTCTTATTATATGGTCAATGGATGGAATTAACAAATAACGATCACGCTTGCAATTTGTTTTGCAGAAGATCTACTCTGTAATAATTTGTTTCTTGTTTTTTTCCAGTCATAGAAAAGTACACGGACAACGTGCGTTTTTGCATCATATGCAACTACCTGGGCAAGATAATCCCGGCGCTGCAGTCGCGATGCACGCGGTTCCGCTTCGCGCCGCTGCAGCAGAGCCAGATCGTGCCGCGCTTGAAAGAAATCGCCGCGGCTGAGGGGTAAGCTAAGAATTTTCGCTAAAAATCTCATCGATGATCATAACATGGCAGCCGTGACGTCACATCGTCGCTCTGGTATAGATCGTTTCATCTACAAAGACGCGCCGCACCATTCTTCCGCTAATGTTTGGGTGTTATCGGTGCACTCACACTACAATAATGACGCTCGGATTGCTCTGATCAAACTCCGCGCAGGCCGCGCTTCCCTCGACCAAAATACTGATAATACAATTTAAATTAATATAATTTTTAATATAGAATTTTAGTTAGATTATCATTTCTCTTGTAGAAATTGTTTAATCTACTAGTATTTTAAAATGTTCTCGCCTTTGCTAGCTATACTTGCTTAAATCCGTGGTGGTGGGGGCCCGGTGACCTGTAACACAGGTATTCATTTACCTAGCTCAGGCTCCAGTCTCACACACTGATTAATGAGTTTTCTTTAATGTATTGTATCCTGTATTTTTGTGTGAGAAATAAATCATTATTATTATTATGTTTGTACGCTTTGGAGTTCACGGGTCAAAAGTGGCCCGGTCCTTTAGGCTTGCGTGGGGATACAGATCCAACACGTAGAGGCCGTTTTAAGCTCAAAATAAACGACAAAAGTGAAAGTGGTGCACATGCTGGAAATCGCGCGTCTTCGTGGATAGAGTAGTAGATGGTTTCATCTATATCGACGGGACGAACGCGGGGAGATGTGCGGGTAAGTGGGAGGGAGAGTCGCATTCTAGCGAGGTGTGCAGTTTACTCAATCGGGCTGTAAAATAGGGTGCTTCAAATTAAAGGCGTGAAGAAGTGCTACAGTGACACCACTAAGGCGCGCTTGCCGCTCCACTACTAGTTTTCATACAATTTCTAGATGCGCAGTCGCACTACCGTGACAAACGACAAGCATACCTCTACTGTATTTCGTTCGTTACAGCCGAAAGACGTCCACTGCTGGACAAAGGCCTCGCCCAAGGATTTTCACAAAGACCGGTCCTGCGCCGATCGCATCCAGGCACCTCCAGCGACCTTCACCAGATCGTCGGTCCACCTAGTGGGAGGCCTGCCCACGCTACGTCTTCCGGCTCGTGGTCGCCACTTGAGAACTTTCCTGCCCCAGCGGCCATCAGCTCTACGAGCTATGTGCCCCGCCCACTGCCACTTGATTTTAGCGATTCTACTGTATTTTTTAATATGCAATTTGTCATGCAGGATGGTAATGTCCGAGGATGGCGTGCAAGCTCTACTAGCCTTATCTGGGGGTGACATGCGCAAGGTGCTTAACACTCTCCAAAGCACGTGGCTCGCGCATCGCTCGGTGACAGAAGACCACGTGTACACGTGCGTGGGCCACCCGCTGCGGTCGGACATCAACCGCCTGCTCAACTGGCTTCTCAATGAGAACGACTTCGCGGCTTGCTTCAAAAGTATCCTTTGATTGACTAACAACCGTATTCACAAACGATGTTTGCTTAAGTGAAGCAGCAAATTAAACGCACAGCGTTAAATAGAGCTCTTTGATTGGTTCATGAGTCACCTTGTATGTCCACGCGCACTGTGAGACGTCATAGTAATGTTTGTAATTACGTAATTCACCGTCACATTAAATAGTTGACACCATCAACCAAATTCTAAGGCACAAATTCTTAAAAAGAACACATAATTCTAGCCCTGAAACCAAACCAGTTTTCAATTAACCGTGAAATGAGATTGTAATGAATCAATTGACTTTAAATTAACCTCATTATTTGTTTGATTAGTAACATTATCCTACATGCGTACGAGGACATACTAATCTATGTTTAACTGTTTATTTATTCACATAATTCCCTTGACCAATTGAACAGACATACAAGATGTCAAGATTGCAAAAGGACTGGCGCTCAGTGACATACTGACCGAGATCCACACAGTAGTACAAAGACGTAAGTATTCATCTTCTTCTATAGTTTAGTTACACCATTTCACTTAAAACATAAGGTGTGAATGCAGTCAAATAACCTCCAACCCCCAACACTCGGGAATAGCTGACCGATTTTTTTTTCGAAAATCAGAATAAACTGTAAAATATTGGAAAAATAAAAAATGCGCTATCGGACAAGACCCCTTACATGAAGACAGCATTTACTAAACTCTCCTTTAGCTCTACGCCTGCATCTTATTTAATTGAGTACAGGTGGATAGAAGCCAGCTTGGCTTATTCTACTATTCCCCGTTGACAATCCCCGTCAACGCCAATTGGAGCTTATAATGATATTAGGATTTTATTTTGAACGTAATATTATAAGTTCCAATTTAACGTTAACGGGGAATAGTGAACAAAAAGTTCACTTATCCCCGTTGACGGGGATTGTCAACGGGGAATAGTGAAATAAGCCGCCAGGCTTCACTCGGATTTCTCAATCACAAGTCAAACAGAAAATGTTGCCCCCGCTGAGAATCGAACCCGTGGCTTCTAAAACTGAACTGAAATATAAATTTCCAGTGAAGCTCCCCCCCGAAGTGCTGATCAGCCTGCTGATCAAGATGGCGGACGCGGAGGCCCGCCTGGCCAGCGGCTGCAGCGAGCGCGCCGAGCTCGCCGCGCTCATCGCCGCCTTCCAGGAGGCGCGCGACCACGTCCAAATGCAGCCCCAGGCGTAACCTCGGCAGCAATGTGAGTCGATAAACAAATGACTAACCACATCACTCGTACATTTGTAGTGTAAGAGTAGGCGCACACCGTTGATTTTTCGTCGGCCGATAGTTTAGTCGGGCAGTTGATCAGTATGGGCATGTATGGGAGTGCGCACACTACGCCGATTCGATTTGGCCGATTCTTCATACAAATTAAAATCGGGCACAACTATCGGCCAACTAAAAATCAACGGTGTGCGCCTACTCTTAAGTCACATCTGCAAAGCGGTCGTCTTTAAGTGATTACTCATAGAAACGGACTTCTTTATGTGCTGGATCATACAAAGCGGACATCTTAAAGTGCTGGATCATATTAAACGGTACCTTTTTGAGTGCTTGGTCATACAAAACGGACTTCTATGTGCTTGGCCATACAAAAAAGGTAATTTTTAAGTGCTTGGTTATACAAAACGAACATCTTGAAATGCTCAGTTACACAAAACAGAAATCTATCAGCGGCCTTCAGCCTAACTGAAACTGGTATGAAAGGATTAGTATGGTAATCAGGGGCCTTCTTGGAAACACGAATGTTCTAATTTTCGAATACACAATGTAGTTCTAACCTAATTTATGTAAATGTACTTTATGCTCTATTTTGCCAATCTACATTTCGAATGTTAGTGAGGTTACAATTATCATCAGTTTAAAGAATGAATCGTGTTATCTAAATTGGTCGTTCAATATACACTATAAATAAGATGATAAAATAACCTTTCATATTACACTGCATATTATATTGTAATGTTTCGTGGTATAAGTAGTTTATTGTGCTGGTCAACATGTAATTTATTATTTACTTCTAAAGCATTCAAGTAAACTGTCCGTTTGAGACTAAGTTATAATACTTTTTGTAATTAGTGGTAATATTGTTACAATAAATATCTTACTTTTTATATTGCATATTTTTATTCACTCATATCATCGATTATAACACATTGCTATAGTATCAGGTAACTGAAGCAAATCACTTATTCTAATTTAGTGTGTTTGTTTCCAAATTAGCTGGTGCTGTTTACTGAAATTTTACCTGAAGTTATAAGTCGACATCGTTCCTGTTAATATATGAATTATACTTATTGTAGGCCTTTTCCCAGAAGTCAAACCTCTTTTTAAAAGGTCCTTGCGTGACCCTTTTTGGACAGTCGTCAATCACAAGGTGACGTCCATGTTTTCCAGACTCAGGCCAAATTACTTTCCCGCCATATCCTTTTGGGGATGGATTACTGCAACAACAATTAAGTTAAATTATTTCTTTAATTTAATCAATAAATCCTAACGGAAAAGAAGTGAAGTAGACACTTACCCGTACTTAATGAAATTCGTTAAAAATGTCACCATATTATGCAGTGTTTTTAAACTTCTAGCATCTGCAGTCTTCAGTATTGGCGCAGTGATGTTAGTCACGAATAAGTACCCTAAATCATCTGCATGTACAGTGCCAGGAAAGTCTATGTCGTAGGTTAGTTTACCCCAATTTAAATCCCCATCGAAATCAAAAACGTAGTAATATAAGGGTGCGCTGTCATGCCTCTTTTTATGGATTCTTATCCAGGAGTCAACAGTGCGAGCATATTGGGTATCTGTAACTAGGTTAAAAAGTTTTGTGAGTGTCCAGTTGGATAAGTCTTTACTGCCAAAATATAACTCGCTCATAGAATCCACCAAGTCTTTGTACTCGTCCGAGTCATCAGGATACTCTATGTCAGGTGGTATACAGAGAGGGACTTTACTCTTCAAGTCGTCGGTTGACAGTTTGTGAAGACTAGGCCACATGTAAGCTCCTTCAAGTGCATTCATACCTACATATATTGGTACATTTTGTGGTATTCCCATTTTTACTATATCCAATGGACGCTTTGTGATAAAAGCGTGGTCTGATTCTTGTTCCACGTTCGGCACAAACGGACCAAATGGCCTCATTGGGTTTCGGTTATTTTTGTAAATATTTTCTTGAGCATCGACTATATCGAACNTATCGAATGCATCAGCGCTTGTAAGATTTTTTAAAATATCTTCAATATTACTGTGATTTGAGATTCCTAGTTGTTCAGCGAGAGCAAGAGCATTCGCTTTTGGATCTTTTGCTAAAAATCTAAAATTCGTGGCGCTTCCACTGCTTAACATAGCGCGGTCAAAGAGTCCCGTGGACTTTTCTGTCAACAATAGGTAGTGGACCATAGCTGAGCCTGAACTCTGGCCTCCGATAGTTATTGTGCTTCCACCAAATCTCCGTATATTATCTTTAATCCATTTCAAAGCTAATAATGCGTCTTTTAAACCGGCGTTTCCAGCTGCATTTTCTGTGTGGAGTGATAGATATCCTAATGCTCCTAACCTGAAACACAATAAAATTAAAATAAGCATTTTTTCCACATTACAAACAACATATTAATAATTTCAGCTAAACACTAATGACTCGATATGTACCGTCTTTGCTAAATTATGCATATTTTTATGTAAAATTAAGCTTTGTTTATTATTTTATCGAAATTGTTAGAAGTACGTTACGTTACGTACGTATCGAAATTGTTGTAAATCGACACTTCCTAAACAAAAATTTAAATTATACTTTAGGTACACCTACACAACAAAACGACTAGATAACTGATCATATCGGCGTCTTGAATAAAAGTACAGAATGTCCCAAAATTAGCAGGTCCCTCTAAGACCGGAGTAGTCTACTAAGGGTGAATTCGACCAAACAAGAGTAGGTAAATATTAATCTCAGAATAAATCGTCAGTTATTCGTCATTTTGACATATTTCCCATACTGAATCTGTCAATGTGCCAATTATACCAGGAGTTATTCTCGGATAAAAGTTTGGTCGAATCGGGCCTAAGTCCATTGTATTAAAACTCATCAAACTTTTCTATGAACCAATAATAACTAAGTCAAAGTCAAAGTCAAAATTTCTTTATTTGTTTAGACTAATAAATAGTTCTTACAAATCGTCATTTTGCTCTTAAGGAGCCTCTACATGTCTCATAATCTTTTTACCCTACCAGCGCTTCGAGACCAACATTTGGCAAGTGCTGAGAAGAAGCGCCGCAACAACTAAAACAGGTCATTGTAAAATGTGTAACTATAATCTCGGAATAAAAGAAATACCTGTAATTAATCGTTGCGAAAATAATGTCTCGTTGTATGTAAAAATTGGGTCCGTAAAACATGTCGATATCTCCGGCATTAGATTTGAAACCCCCTCCATGAATGAACACAAAGACAGGCAGAGCTTGCCGCGTTCTGTTCACCGGTACCATAATGTTAAGGGATAAACAGTCTTCGCTCATTTGATCTCTTGTGTACTTTTTTCCTTCTGACTGCGGGCACACCGGGCCTTCCTCTGTTGCATTGAAAATATGAGTCCATGGTTTTTTGGGAATAGGGGGCTGTGGAGCAAAAATAAATATAAATCCATTATTGTTATTAAGTTTTAAGTACATATTTCATACAGAACTGTGAATATATTGCCACTATAATTTGAAACTTATTTACTTAACAAGATTTAAAACAATAAAAAGATTAACAGCCCCCAATCTTAAATTGGTTTACAACATTAAAAAACAATCTCGAACACTTGTCAAATTAAAAAAAAAATGTTAAATCACTAGCGTGTCTGCCGAAATTGCAAAGTGACCTATTTACATTCCCCGAACTAGTCATAACATCAAAAAACCAGAACTACTTACACCATGCTTTGTAACAAACCTTAAAACGTAATTCTCCTTCTGGGCTTTCTGCATATGGTATTCCCAAGTAGGCGTAGTACGAAACTTGTTCTCCTTCCACGAGCGTCCCCCGCACGGGGCCTGTGGTCGTGACGACCACGGAACACTCCGCTGCCGTCAGTATCACACTGACTGTTATTGCGAAGCGCAACATCTTTACTGAAACGCATTAATCACCACTCGAACCTTTTATACTGGGCTTACCACAGTTTTCAAGTAGGCGCCTTAATTGGCAATAGTAGTGATGTATAAACCCGTGCCTAGGCGAGACGTGGGCTCTCTGAGTCACGCCTTGAGCCCTCATAGGAGCTTGAGTCTTAGTAAAATGAAAGTGAGCCTTCCATAAAATACAAAATTAGAATTTAATAAGATGAATGTTTTATGTCATAAAGATCACCGTAGATGCTTAAACTATCGTGCTTTAACTCCTTTCCTCATGAGCAGCTCACCACAACTAGATCACAGAAAAAAGACCAGTGCGCTGAATAAAACTCGAGCTCTGAAAGACTCCCAAGTCGTAGAGCTCATACAATATCATACAAACGAGGCGACCCTTAAAAAAGACACCAAGTTCTAAACAAAAGGACTCTGAGGCCTCGAGCATCTTCGAGCCTTGTACCTGTACATCACTACTTGGCAATTTCGCGTCTAATACAGTACTAATATTGATATCATTATTATCAGTCCACTTGCTGTTAGTGACACATTATCAGTTTGTATTATAACGAAACAAGAAATCCTTTAATACTATAATCGAATCTGATCTCTTAAGCCCGGTTTTTGAGTTGAGAATTACAGCTTGAGCCTGGTCATCTTCTACTCAAGGATGAATTTGGTATGAAAAGTTCATACTTCATTAGATAATGGACACGCTAAACCAAAAATCTTAATTCAGAAACTGGACCGGTGCAGCGGTGTGAAACTGTTCTTACTTAGCCGGCCTTTTTGTTCGTTTTCTCGGCTTCGTTCGTTCGTTCTTTATTTAATCGAAATATAGTAAAACAGCGCACAACCAATGACATCTTAGCGCACAACAGTGTTTATCGATAATTTTATTCCATAGCCTAAAGCATGGTAAAGGTCACGCGTCTTTATTTTTACAGGTGGAATAGTATTGACGTACAATATCAAAAGTGGAAGGTGTGCTGTTATTGTAGTGTTTTGTGTGGAACAAATCTTATGCTAATTTATATTTGTTTGCAAGTTTGTAATACAAATTACTAATACCTATTAAAAAAAAATACTTCAACATTCGAATCTCCCATCGAAACTAAGAAATTGCAACTGTTAGTTATGTGTGCAAATAATTAAATTATACGTCTCAGCCCTACGCTCAATGCTTAAAATTATTACTAATGAACATAGAAAAGGCATAGACTTTCTTAAACAATTTTTTATTTCTTATTAATTAAAATAAATAATATAGCTCTAAATCTATAAATCTATTTACAATGTTTACAGCGCGAAGGAAAAAAAGTCCTTTCGAGATCTCATATTTTTGGCATTGCCATGAAAACAGCTGTATATTTGCATGCCAGTATTTAATTGTAATATACGTGTTTTACGCTAATCTAATCGGTAGGGTCATTACATTATGCCTCAAAGAGAGCTTCATCTTTTTTTTATCTCACTCTTTTAAAAGAACTAAGTATGTACTCGTACGCTTCGGTTCCTACATATTCATCTTAGTCAAACGAGACATATTATTATGTGCAGTCATTGTCTTCGCACACGTGTGCAAAAATAACAATATGTGGTGCACGACTGTCTGATAATAGCGATGCAATACGATTTATTGATTCATTTAGAAATCAGTATGGTTCTTTCGTCAAATGGACGAGTACAAACCTAGCGGGTAAGTATAGAAAGTTTTTAAAAATGAAAACCGCTGTCGAGATTTACAAGTCGTGCGTCATAAATAGAGAGTTATCCAAAGATATTCGATACGAAGCTGTTAAAAGAGTTGGTGAGAGATGCGAAGATGCCGGAGCCGGCGGGCGCGGGCGGCGGGCGCGGCGGCAGCGACACCGGCCGGTAGTAGGGCCCACCGTCGATACGCTGCAAATGCATAAACATCCCAATTAATTACATACATAAGTAGTTTATACTTTATTGCACATAACAGATACCTACATAAAAGAAATACTAAGAAGACGTGATCTAAGTTATATTTCTAAGCAATAAAACGGTCTGGCCGTAATAAATACACTCACGTGTTTGACTATTTAATTTTACTCTTTTGAAGTGTTTTTGTCTGAACATCTGTCGCACGCAGGCAATTTTTTTTAGAAAAATACTCGATGTGTGGATTTCAAATGTTACAATACAAAAGAAAACATTATTTTAATATGAAAGTGGTAAAAGTGGATGGAAAAGTACCTAATTTAGAGAGCATGCAATAAAATATTTAATTTAATTATGAAGTGTAAAAACCAAGCGTAAAACGATGTGCCCTAGCAAGGACACATTGAGTAAATAGGTATACATTTTTATTATGTAAAATGTAGGCGATGCTCAAATTCTGCGAAATACTACGCATTAAGATTGTGAAAATTAGAAAATCAAGAAAACGCATACTCTCATGTACAGATTTACATTAACTTACCAACACCTCATTACATATTTACACATGCTCTTATAATAATAATTATTAAATAAATAAATAAATATCGTTTTACAATTTTACACAGCGCCATCTAGCCTCAAAGTAGGTAAGCAATTAATATTATGCTTGTATTATGGATACTATCTTATCGGATATACTAATTATATACTTTTAAATACATACAGTCATACATATTATACATAGTAACACCTAGACCCGTCAAAGAAATTAAAATTCATCATTTCAATTTCTGCTCGGCCGGGAATCGAACCCGAGACCTCTCGGCATAGTAGTACGTTCTGCTGAACCACTATACACCAAACGGCCGTTAATGATAAAAAATATTTAAATTGTACGTACCTCATCGTCCGCTAACTATCATTCTGTTTGGGGTATGTTGATGAAAAGATGAAAATAAGTTATTTGCTATTTATTACTTCAGAAGATCCTATCCTAAACAACGTGTTCTGAACATGACTACAAAAATAGGTTTTATGAGTTTGTACTTATTCGGGACATTGATCACAGATTTCCCAACACCAAATGGTTATTTGTACATTTAAGCGAAGCATTAACGAATACATGACTAATAACGTTAGCTCAATAATTTATTGTCGGAACAATGCTATTAACGGATTCTATTAAAGTGTAACAATGAATGTACGGTTTAATCTTCGGGGAAAGCGAAACCGGTGGAGCGGTTGGTGGTGGTGGTGACAGCAGCGACGGTGGTGACGCGCGCGGCTCCGCGGCCCGGCTTGCGCTGCGGCTTGCTCGCCTCGAAGCCCTACGGACCCACACCACACAACTGAACCATGACCACACCACCCTTATAACATGCTAGTGCTATAGCGTGCATGTGCAGACGCCAGCTCATCAGACTAAGCAGTATTCTACATTTGAATACTAAAGTGCATCAATTCAACTACCTACAGTGTTTAGACTGATGTGCAGACGTCCGTACATGTTGGCTTGTATTTATATTTAAAGAAACAGATAAGGTTTTCAATTCGGCATTTCATCCTTACCACAAGACATACTTTCAATCATATAAAGAATTGTATCTTTAGGAAAAGGCGCCAACGTGAGTTTAGTAGCCATCTACACGTGCTCGATTTATTTAACATAACAACTAACGAACAATCTTGTGAAAAAGATAAAAACACGATTTTGAAACAACAGCAACAACCTTGGTAAATAAGAAAAAGCAAAGGTAATTAATCCTTTCCATATTTAATAATAGAGATTAAAATAAAATAACAAATAAGCTAGTTAAATTAAACAAATATTCTACTTCTTATATGGTTACTTATATCAAAGGCCACTAGACACCTACGATCACAGTAGGTAAGTAAATGCTTATTTGTTAATTATTTAAAATTGCTAGAGATAGAATAATTTAACGTTATGAAGTCATTTCATTAAATTAGCTGTCCTCGGTCTGATAAACATATTTTTTGTGACTATTTACTATTGAACCATGAATCTTATTCAGTTGTTCATACATCCAATTACTATAAAATTAATGCTACGCTATGGTTCCCTTAAATCCGCTATATTTACAGGTAGTTTACAGAGTTACATTAGGTATTTTGAGCTATATACAAGATTCTGAGTATAACATTAGTGACAAAGTTGCTTATTATGTGACCTACCTTAGCGGAATGTAAGGTAACGTTCAGGAGCGTGGGGTGGCTGTCCACCACGATGAACTCCACCTCCTGTGGCAGGTAGCCGTCGGCTGCGACCTGGAAAATAATGTTTAGAGTTTAGTTAAATGCGCGATTATGACGACAAGAAATTATTCTAAACATTACATAAAATCAAATCATACATAGGCCCTTTCCATTGCGCTTATACGTGTACATTGGTCATGGTATATGGGCTGGTGTTGAGAAGAAGTCATTATTAAATCGCCGTACTTGGTTGTGTGGTAGGCGACGCCGCGGCCCTTGACGCGGATGCACGCACGCTCTATAAAGCTCAACCACATACGATAGAACCAAAATAGTCACTCACATCGAGCCGGTAGGTCCCGGGCAGCAGTGTCCTCCAGAATTCTTCGTACTTGGTGGTGTGATAGGCGACGTCGCGGCCCTTGACGCGGATGGACGCGCTCCACACGGCTTAACCAAACAAGATAGAACCAAAATAGTCACTCACATCGAGCCGGTAGGTCCCGGGCAGCAGTATCCTCCAGAATTCTCCGTACTTGGTGGTGTGGTAGGCGACGTCGCGGCCCTTGACGCGGATGGACGCGCTCCACACGGCTTAACCAAACAAGATAGAACCAAAATAGTCACTCACATCGAGCCGGTAGGTCCCGGGCAGCAGTATCCTCTAGAACTCGCCTTACTTGATGGTGTGGTAGGCGACGTCGCGGCCCTTGACGCGGATAAGCGCGCTTCATAAAGCTCGACCACATTTTTACTATAGAACCAGAACAGTACGTTCATTCATATCGAGCCGGTAGGTCCCGGGCAGCAGTATCCTCCAAAACTCTCCGTACCTGGTGGTGTGGTAGGCGACATCGCGGCCCTTGACGTGGATAATCGCGCGTTCCACACAGTTCAACCACATACGATAGAACCAAAACAGTACGTTCACTCACATCGAGCCGGTAGGTGCCAGGCAGCAGTATCCTCCAGAACTCGCCGTACTTGGTGGTGTGGTAGGCGACGTCGCGGCCCTTGACGCGGATGGACGCGCGCTCCACACAGCTTAACCAAATAAGATCAAGATAGAACGAAAATAGTCACTCACATCGAGCCGGTAGGTCCCGGGCAGCAGTATCCTCCAGAACTCGCCGTACTTGGTGGTGTGGTAGGCGACGTCGCGGCCCTTGACGCGGATGGACGCGCGCTCCACCGGGTTGCCGCTCTCGTCCGTCACGAAGCCGTGCGCGCCGCGGTGAGCCTCCGCCAGGAACTTGATCAGCGACTGTTGACACATTCATATTTATCAGATTAGTTGCTCGTGGAAGTAGGTATGTGATCATTCCGAACAAGCAAATATTCTCGGTTCTAGGTGCGTCCCCTGCAAAGATCGATAGTCTTAGCTTTATAGACTGTCTTATTGTTTTATTGAATTAAATACCTACACAATAAAATGTTTAATACATTGTTATTTGTTGTAAATCCTTTTATTTGATTATTTCCAAAACATTATTAAGTACTTGATGTTGATCTACTTTCTGCTGCTGATAAGTTACTTATTTACTATCTATCTTTTAGCGATAATGTAGTCTACCAACATCACGTGAAAAACTAATCTTTGTCAAACTCTAAACCAAACCAGTCGTGTTGTTAAAAGATGTATTTCTGCTTCGCAGTGTGTTTAGTATTAGCGAGTGTTGCGAGCTGTTTTGCTGATAATGAACACCGAGTAGCTGTCGCATATCTTAGAACTGAAAATGTGACTGGTAAAATATTGTTTACCGAAACGGACGAAGGGTTAAGGGTCTCTGGCGCTATAGTAGGCCTCGAGGAAGGTCACTATGGATTTCACATCCACGAATTGGGAGACGTAGATACTTGTCTTACGACCGGTGCTCACTTCAATCCGGACAACATTCAACACGGAGGGAGAGACGACGAAGTGCGACACGTCGGTGATTTGGGAAACGTGATATTTGCCGGGGCCCAGATTCCCGTGAGCAACTTCCAATTTGTCGATGGTACGATTTCGCTCCGAGGGCGGAACAACATTCTGGGGCGAGGGCTGGTGCTGCACGAGCAGGAAGACGACCTGGGGCGCGGCGACCACCCGGACTCGCTGACCACGGGCAACGCCGGCGCCAGGGTCGCCTGCGCCGTCATCGGTATGCACGCGCCCGTTGATGCTTGGCACTATAACTCATCTTTCAACATTGGACCCTCAGTGTCTTTGATTGCATCTATACTTATGTTATCATTTATTTTAAATAAGTAATAATCTCAATATGAATTTTTGTTTCAATCGCTTTCTTATTTCATTTCGGTTTCTGTCATCTAGAAACTATTGCGCAAACATTTGGGAATGAGATATAAAATTATGTATCGCGTCTTTTATCTCATTCCCAAATGTTTGCACAATATGTAGTTCAAAATGCTAGGTAAGTTGTTGAGTTAGTTAAATTACTTACGTAAATGGATAGCTTTTTTTTGTGTTTATAAAATCGACTAAGCTCATTGTGCCGAGCGAAATTTTATTCACGGGCGATGTAAATGTAATGAATCACCGTTAAATCAATCAAATAAAAAACGTGAACAAACAAAGGAGTCAAATATTTGCGTAGTTAAGTATCTACGCAAATATTATCTCTAATCTTTTTTGATTAAATTAATACGTTATCGTTAGACGTAGATACTATTATTTCATTAAAATTCCACTGTATTAGGATTCTAGCTTAGTAAGAAAATTTTATTTTTTGCCAAAAAAGCTATATTTGAAATGTGATTGCGACTCGTAATTACTTTATTTTAATCTAGATTGTTGAGTTAACTAATTTTCCTTTCTCACTCGTATTGAAACGATTGTTAAAGCTTTCTTGTGTTTTTTTTTTGTGATTGAGAGACGCTACTAATACGGACCTCTCTGTTGTCGAGCCAGTACTTGTGAAGCTCATGGGCTGGCGGGTACTTGCAGCAGGAGATCTCCAGCGTGATCTCCATGCAGCCGTGCCACAGGTAGTTGTAGTCCTGCATGCCTCCTGCCGAAAGAAAGTCGAATTCATTTAGTACTACTGGTACTGCATAATACTACATGTTGTAAGTCCCTTGGTTTTTAAAAATAATCAAACAAAACTAGTAAATTAGAAACTGTTGGTTTACAGCTGGCTGCTCCGAAATATTTTTCGAACTTCGTTTGATGATGTTATCTAACCCGTAAGGAAAGAAATGCCTAGGTATCCACTCTTGGCTAGTGCCTTGTGGACTCGGAAGGTCATACAGCAACGTTAGCCTCAAAACCTGCAGTATCAGTTGGATTTCCGCAGACTGCAGACTTTTAGTCGGCCGATAGTTGGGCCCGATTCTAATTTGTATGATGAATCGGCCGATACCAATGTGCGCACTTTCATACATGTTCGTTCATTGTCCTTACTGATTAATAGCCCGATCCAACTTTCGGCTCACAAAAAGTCGATGGTCTGCGCTTAGGCTTAGCCAACAGTCCAATTCGAAATTTCCAAAAACTTATTAAAAGGTGAAGTAGGGTCTCTTTCTAATAGAGTACTTTCACAAACCTGTTAGAGGGTACCAAGCGGCGCCATTGGTGATGCCGTTCTCGAAGCGCGGCGAGCCGGACTTGCAGGAGACGCCGCGCGCCATCTTGGCGTGGTTGCGCGAGTACACCAGCGCCAGGTGCCGCAGCACGTCGTCGTCGGGCGCGATGGACGGCGAGTGCGCGTAGCTTTGGAACACTGCGTTTAGGGGATATGCACGGGAAAACGATACACGTTAATTTGTATTCTAGAAAACATGAAAATAAGCATCAGAGTCGGCCCGTTTTACTATAGTTATCTTTTATTAAACCGACATTTGATAACGACTAAGTTCAAAACTATATTTTTTTTAAAAAGTTGATAGATGAATTAACTAAGACTCTGACGTATGTGTTCATTTAGGTACTAGGAAGAGAGGGGCGTAGCTACTAAGGGGCAAGGCGGGGCTGTGCAACGGGGCCCCCGAATCCTTACCAGAAAATCTCAATTGAACTGAACTGTGAAAATTACTCCCATTTTCAAAATAAATAGAGAGAAATTCGAAAGCTGTATCAGGAGTAAGTAAGCTTAATGTCAATAAACTTGATAAAACCTAACCAGTTTAGATTGCAGTGGGGCCCCATTTTTTTATTTGCCCCAGGGCCCTTGGTTACCTAGCTACGCCACTGTAGGAAGACACTGACTCCTGAAATACAGTTTACCTACACAGTTTAGGAGCCAGGTCTGAAACTACTACTACTAGTGAACTACAGTGAATACATCTAGAGCCTTTGGTTTATTTATGGGGAACAATCAGATACATTAGTCGCTATTCGAAAATTGTATACGTCACCCGAGCATAATACTGAGGATCTGCATAATCCTGGTGCAGCGTAAATAAAAACAACATTATTAGAAAACAATCGTGCAGCATTATGATGTCAGAAACGAATGTTTATGTATAGCATAGACTAATAATATTTCGCTATCTACATTCATAGCTGTGCATATTGTCATCTTTGCTGGTGTTTATGCTTTCTTTTCTGGGTTTACTGGTTTACTTTCTGGTTTTACATTTCAGTCAGCGGTCTGATATCAAACTGCATTTAAATATTATATTCTATATTCTACCTTCAGTCACTATTATCTAAGACATGCAGTTGATATGCTGGATTCCTGGCTTGAATTAAATTCTTATACCTACAGTCAATTAAATTTTTGTGTTTTTTAATTTAGTCGATACTACGCTTCCACGCAATCTATGCACATGTCGTGGCAGCTTTTAATTAAGGCTACACTATAAACATGTATTGTTTTCAATGTTTTTTTTTTCCTGTTAATTGTGTCTGTCTTGTTAGCTGTCCTTAAATAAATAAATAAAATAAAATAAATAGACTAGAGGCAATAGGCAAGTGAAAACACATTAATACTGCCGTATAATGTGGGTCACCTAATGGTTGACAATCATCATCGCCATACATCGGAAAATTAGAGGGGTTACCAATGCAATGTGCCTTTAGGCAATAATTAGCTATAAGTTAGCTTACCAAGTTAGTTAATCAAGACTGTAAGTACTACAATGTGACCTACTAGCATTGGGCGTGTTATCGAAGGGATAGGAGGCGACAAGCGCGCCACCGTGCAGCGAGCCTGACACCACGAACTGGATCTTGCTGATCCACTCCTTCACGGCCTCGGTCTCCGGCTGCGGTTGCTTCGTGTTCGCCTTGAAGTAGTCCGGGAAGTTGCGGTTCAGGTCGTAGCGACGAGCGTTGTGCCTGAAGCAATTGAAGACTTTCATAACAGGCTATTTTCCTATTGTATTAAATGTATCTTTCTTTCTTTCTTTCTTTCTATTGTCCTGCCGTGTATCCTTAGGAGAAGGCGTAAGTGTCCGGGTATTGATAAATTATAAAAACAAGACATGTGACATTCTTCAGCAGAAGAGATCACTGTTTTCCACTTAAAAATATTGAACGATAAATAAATAATATTATGAGAACTCAATCCAATGCAGTAGGTACATTTAAACATCCCCAATGCACGTCATCCTTCTTCATCCTCACTCCATCTTGATGAAGGTGAAACATATTAATATTTGACGATAAATGTATGTAAGTACATAATGAAAGGTGATTATGGTAAAATTTTATTATATAAGTAATGGTTGACTATTAATGAAAAAACACATGCACGTCAGTACTTATTTGTACGAAAACACGTGCACGTGACCGAAATTCCGTGCTTCATTGATAAACCTAATTAACTTTTGATGTAATCGTCTTCTATCTGACTTAATCGCAGTGTAATATTATTGCGTACCTACGACAATATTTATCATCAGTCTTATTCACGTCTAAATACCCATTTGCAAATTAACCGATAGGTACTAATTTTCGTGATTGCGTACTCAAAGTTTTTAATTATAATTTAATACGACTTACATATTGAGTAAGGTTACACATATTCATTATTATAGATTATAGCTTTCATTTCATTATGTTAGTTTAAACTATTACAGCTATTGCACCGTAATTCAATAGGACGAATTAACAACGTGGGCGCTACGAGTAAGTACACTATTAACTAGAGATTGATGGGAAATAAGTTGGCCGTTACAAATGGTGTGGGAATAAAGCTATTTCATAATACATTTCAAATGTTTAATGTCCCTACTTATCGAATAATGAGCGTGAATGTGACGAAATCATATTTGCGTTCCGGTATGCGGCTTCATTTTAGTGTAATTAACAGGTTATTTTCCTATTGTTGTGATGATTGCCCACCTGCCGTGTATGGTGTCACATTGTCCCTCTTTGGAGATGGCGTAACCGTCCGGGTTCATGGAGGGCATCAGGTGGATCCTGGTGTTGTCCAACAACCATTTCACGTACGCGTCGGTGTCGTAAGATGTTACTAGGTGCTGAAAAACAACGTAGTATGCGTCAGGAAGTCTCATAAATTAGGAGTTATTGGGTATACTAATAAAGTAGAATAGGTAGAGCCACCCTAAATGATGTGTCATGACCCCGTGACTAATTCAAGGAAAAGACATGTCCAAATTAAATTAAGGATATTAAGTTTATGAAACCCAATTTGATGAACGGAAAAGTACGGTCTTAAATATAAGACTACTTAGGTAGTCAAGTTTGATTCACTCTTCGTGGTGACGTATCTAGCTACTTGAGTAAGATTGATATCGTATGTCTTGAGGCATTAGGACTTTCTTTAGAAGAAAGTATTAGTATCAGAATCTTTAGAAGAAAGTATTTTTGGAACCTGAATCAGATGGAGCAGCAACTCTCTGCCCACAGCCTCGTTGCCGTGGATATTGGCCACGTACTTGACGTCGGGCTTGCCGATCATATGCTCGTATGGAGACGCGGAGACCACCATCACCCACAGGTCGCGACCTGCGGAGAAAATAATGTACCTATTCACGGAAAATTCCTGTGTCTCTTTCCACGTTTTTAGACCTTTGGCATTCGACTCTACTTTATAACACAACGTAGCTTTAGTTAGATTTTGACTCTATTTACTTTTATCTAATACCCAGGTGGGTACCTGTGGCTTATATCCTAGCTAATAAGGATATAAGGATTTCCTTAAATATTTAGGATTTACATTACATTAAAAAAGTTAATTACGTTAGTTAATACTTATTCAAGTACCTACCTATATCTACGCTTTTGCTAGTGTTTATCTATAGGTACGTTTAGTATTTATTCTTCGTGATGAAGTGAATGAGGACATGTTTGTTTTGCCGTGAATACTGATCAGATGTCGAAACCTGTTAGGAACAACTTGACTTGGCAAGATTTGCTAATGCAATAATTGCAATGGAATTTAAATCAAATCGCGGTTAATATCCTGGCTTCTGAGTCAACCGATAAAAATAATGGCATCGTCACATCGCCTTTTCCTGCTACTCGCTGCAGTTTATTAATGGTCAGATTTAGTGACACCAATAGAATAAATAGTAGTTATTTTAATCTCAAATAGACCTCCGAATAGTAAGGCATAAGAACCTTTTCTTTACCGATATACCTACATTTTCAATTTATATTCGTTTCTCTCAAAGTTCGGAATAGAGTACAACGTAAAACGTTTCTATTATTATTAAGGTTAATTAACGTTATTTTGTTAAAGTTAAAACAAAACATCGCCTGAAGTTAGGTAAGCGAATCTGGGTACCTCGATCAAAGGAACGATAATTAGGTTGGCTGCCAGCCAAATCGATGGACGCTCAAATTACCTTGTACAGATTTCCCAATGGAGTAGAGGGCCGTGAGCGCGGGGTACTTGGCGGACACCGCGCGCAGGTAGCGCGTCAGCTGGTCGTGGTCATGGTACCTGAACTCCAGGTCCAGGCCGTTGTCACGAGGCTCCGCTTCTCCCAAGTTCGTTGATAACTCTTCAGCTAGATCAATTGAATTAGGTTCAGAAATCCCACTTTTAACACTCCTATTGCGGTAATTAATATCGATTAGTAAGGGCCGGGCGGACCAGGATACATACATACATGCTTGATAAATTTGAATAAAGTACTAAAGAAGTTTACTAGGAGATACTCACTTGTTAAAGTACTTTCCAAATACGACTGAGCAAAACATGGTCCCAAAGTGTACAATAAAATAAGAATTTTGGTTACACCAGTTGTTGATACCGCGGACATCATCTGGAATACAAACAATACTTACGAATGAGTCACTATAAATCCTGACACAAGTTTACCTCATACTTATTTTATTTATACACTCGCGAGCAAAAGTATGGAATCACTTACATGAAGTTGTTTCCACGCGAACTTGTGTACTAACGAATTTGTTAGGAACAAAAAAAGTGACACCATTTTAAAGATTAAACTTTTATCTTTAAATTGATACCANATTTTCTGTGTCGAGTGATAGATATCCTAATGCTCCTAACCTGAAACACATTTAAAAAAAATATAATTAAACATTACAAATAGCGAAATGATTGTACCTATAGTCTTAAACTAAGTCTATTAAAAATTCGATAATGGGTTTTGCTAAATAATGCAAAATGCTGTCTAAAATTGCGCTGTTTTATTTAAGTTTCATTATTTTATCGTTAGAAGTACGAAAATCAACACTACTTGAACAAAATTTTGAATTAATATAGTACACCTCCAATAAATATACTTGATCAAATAAAATGTATTGATTCTACTGCTTAAATTTCTATCTTCATAAGTAGAATAAAACAAATATGTAAGTACCTGAAATTAATCGTTGCTAAAATAACGTCTCTTTTTATGTAAAAATCTGGTCCGTAAAATATATTAATATCTCCGGCGTTACTTTTAAAGCCTCCTCCATGAATGAATACGAATACAGGTAAAGATTCCTGCGTTCTGTTTACCGGGACCATAATATTAATGGATAAACAATCTTCGCTCATTTGATCTCTTGTGTACTTTCCTTCTGGTTGCGGACACACCGGACCTTGCTCTGTTGCATTAAACACATTAGTCCATGGTTGTTTGGGAATGGGGGGCTGTGGAACAAAAAAAATGCGAAAAATGTATTCATTATTGTTGTTACTTATGAATTAAATGCACATGAATGCTAACTGTTGGTGAAAATCATGATTTGATAAGATTTTAAAATAATTCTACATCAACACCTGAGCAAAGAAAAATATGTAACTCGAAAACATTCCACATTTCCATGAACTTCTAATTAAGACTACAATTTCTACTTAGATGAAGTTATCATGTTTTTTTCTCGATTGTTATAGTAATCGTCGTGATATTTTTTTTTGTTTTGCAGAAAGTATTTACATTTGTGAATAATCCACATGTGAGGGTTTAGGTATGTGACGTCTATCAGAAAAATAACAAACCTTAAAACGTAATTCTCCTTCTGGGCTTTCTGCATATGGTATTCCCAAGTAGGCGTAGTAAGAAACTTGTTCTCCTTCCACGAGCGTCCCCCGCACGGGGCCTGTGGTCGTGACGACCACGGAACACTCCGCTGCCGTCAGTATCACACTGACTGTTATTGCGAAGCGCAACATCTTTACTGAAACGTACTATTCACGTCTCATTATCTTTTATACTGATCCTACCACAATATTCAAGCAGGCGGCTTGGCAATTTGGCGTTTATACTTACAGTACCAATATTGATATCATTGATATTATCAGTCCGCTTGCTGTTAGTGACGACACATTATCAGTTTGTATTTGCCACATTATAACGATATCGGTAGCTTTCAAAGCTACGATAGTAAAAATATATTTTATTAATTTACTAGCGATTCGACCCCTTTCGCACGGTGTAATGTATTTATTACATGTAATAAACCCTNCATCTTCTTTTCAAGTTTCTTCAATTTGCTTGCTAGGTATTCGATGGTATCTCCATGTCTTCTTTTCGGCATTTTGGAATGAAGCGTGCGAAGTGGCTGAGCACTAGTTTGCGAATGACGAGAGCGCCACAGTGTCTCTTAGAGGCGGGGTCGGTTGGAGGGGGAAAATCGTGTTTCCGGTTCCTTTTTAATTTTTTAATAGAAACCGTCAGTTGTATCACTTCCGTTTGAAGATTTTAATCTCAAACCGGAAGTGATAAATAAATTTAAACTAAGTGCAAAAGTGGCTACGCTAGGCGTTACTACATAGTGTTGTTATAAAGTTAGGTTTAATATAAATAGGTAAGTATACTAATCTCGAGGACGAAGCACGTGTATAATGACGCATTCTTACATAAATAGGTTCCTGCTATACATTGAACTGGTAACCCATACAAACATAATACTTAAGATGTTCTTTTTTTTTTTACGAGGTAAAGTCATTATAATAAACATTAATTAACGACAAAAAAAAATTTTTTATTTATTTAGGCCTACTAATTTTAAATCCTTAATGTGCCAAGTGCCCAAATCTTTACCTGACATATCCTCTAGGACATACACCAAAGGCGATTTTTTATGAGTCACACGACATTTAATGAATTTTGGTGCTAACTTTTTACTATTTTGTCTTTGTCACTTAATACGTAAGCGCGCTTCATAACAATATCTCCCACATTAAACTCTGCTGGCTTTCGACGCAGATTATAGTGTGAAGTATTTTTTTCGTGAGCATACCATAACTTTTTCTGTACGTCATTAAAAATACTAGAAAGGCAGCCTAAGTTTTCGGCATAAATATCCCGAGGTAAAAATAAGATTTCGTTGCCTAATTCTGAGTCTGTATAGTGGGTACCGCAGGTGACAAGTTCCCTACCATAGACTAAGAAAGATGGCGTGAAACCAGTAGCCTCGTTTACCGAGTTATTTATCGCAAATTGAACCTTTGGAATAAAAACGTCCCAAGTTCTGTGATCATTTTCGACAAATGTTGATATGCAAGTGATAATAGTTCTATTGTAACGTTCAACTGTGTTAACTTGTGGTCCTCTTCCCCCCGGACCTCTGAGGTGTTCAGACGTATTTAACACTGAGACTTATTCAAAAATAATTCCGAAAAATAAAGTAAAAGTGCGCGATTTAATCGACTACAAAAATAGGAGTGCATAAACGCGAGGAGGTAATATTCGACCGCGGCTCCTGGTGTGCGCCTGGTACCCGCTGCGCCCCACCGTGCTGTCGACGCCGCCACAACGCCGCCCACAGCTTGCTGTCCGCCGCGGGAGGCGTAGCATCGCTCGACCAATACAGTCCGCGCGCCCCACGTCAGCGTGCTGTGCTGTGGGCGGTGCCTGCGTGACGTAACTGCTACCTCTCTCGACGCCGTGTTATCCTGGTACCATGAGCCGAGCGGCCGATATGTCCGTGTGCGAGGCGGGTGAGTCACCGCAGCATGATATTAATGCTACTCCGACGCAATATGTATTCTCGCGCAGTAAAAAAGTGACAACGGAGGATTTACGAGATTTTAAGGAAGAAATAAAAAATATGATACATTTATTATGGACGGAACAGCAGAAGGAAATTAAAAGTATCACATCGACTTTACTAGAAATAAAAGAGACAAACACCAACATAGAAAAATCGGTAGCCATTTTGACCGCCCAAAATTTGGAATTGACACACAAAATCACCGAATTAGAAAATAAATCAAAAGAAGACAGAGAGCACATAGTTTTATTGGAGGAAAAAATTGAACACTTACAAATTGGGCTTAGAAAGTCCAATCTAGAAATAAAAAACGTTCCGAAAAAGAATAACGAATCCAAGGAGGATTTAATCGAGATGGTTTTGGGTTTATCTACCACTATTGGCGGTGACCTGCGTAAGGAAGACATCAAGGACATATACAGGGTGCGTGGAAAAAAGGAACCACAGAACCCACCCATAGTACTTGAAACCTCTTCTACCATCGTAAAAACCAACATCTTAAAGTTGTGTAGAAACTTTAATGTAAAAACTAAGTCCAAAATATGCGCCAAACACTTGGGCCTACGTACCGCGGAGGACACGCGAGTGTTTGTATCGGAGCAGCTGACCCCCAGAGGGTCCCGATTGCACTTCCTCGCCAGGGACCTCGCCAAAACAAAACAATACAAGTACTGTTGGACCGCCTACGGTAAGGTATATGTTCGGAAATCAGATAACTCTCCAATAATAATGATAAAATCAGAGGCCCAAGTACATCGACTAATTAATATCTAACTAGTCCGCAATAACTATGTCGCACCCCCCCTGGAAGAAGTATGCAAGTCCACTTGTGTGATATTTTTTTTATTGCACTAAAAAATCGAGAAGGAGGTAATACATATTGTCAATTTTTTTCATAATTTTTCTCTTAAAAATGAAGAAATTATGTACAAATATGTAAAATATTGCAACATTAAAATATCTAAATTTCCATAACAATAACGAAGTAAATATTTGCATTTAATTGTTTAATAAAGTTCCGTATGAATAATAGCATATTAATATTTACATACATCTTCCACGAAGACTTTAAAAAACTTTTTTTTTTNCGAGTGTACTTAATGAATAAATACGCCTATTGATTACGGGGCTGCCCGTGCACTTATTTATGTTAGGTTCAATAATAATACTTATAAAATATTATTATACTTAATGAAAATAATGTAGTAAGGCTATTTATGAAAGATAAGCTTCCCATTTATGAAATATGTTGATGTATGTTGGGACTATTACAAAATTACCTACTTTTGTGGTAATTCCATGTTTATAAACGATACTTTCAGGAATATACTTAGGTCTTATCAGGTGGGTATATTATATGGCGGTAACTCTACCTACATTTTTTTACTTAGCTAAGTAGTACCTACTTATGTTTCCATTTTTAATATTTCCCAAGAAAGGTACTTATTTAAGGCTTTCTCCGCTCCAGGAGCAGGAGCAATACGAGCATCTATATTTTAAGATAAATGGAAACAATCTTGGCTCGTATTTCCAATGCTGACCAAATGGATTGGGGAGGCAAATACACAAAATAACGGATACATTTCAATGTCAATTTCTCTTGTAATTCTGCGTAAAAAAGTGAGTAAACAATATTTTATGCAAGTAGGTAACAGTACGCATTCTTGGGGCCGCAATGACTCAAGTTTTTGTTGTACGCTTCACTTTCGTTATTCACATTCGTAACATGCCGCCAGGGCTTTCTTTTTAATGTCATCAGCGTAGAGTTTAGGTGGAAGCGGCGGACGCTCCAGTTGCGCCCGCGCAACCGGTCGCGCACCAAAGGTCATTGGGTCAGTGGACCGCACCATCACGGTGCATCGCACTCTATAATACGATGAAATTACCTGATCGTTACAGTATAACGATTTTGTGTGTCAGCCTTGAAACCGATATGGGAACTTATCGAAAAAAACTTCCCCGGTTAAATGTAATACTCGTAGATGCGCCTCATGGAAGACGATGAAGTAACTGAAGTAAGATAACACTTGGCACTCTTGCCGCATGTATTATACTAGTATTACATATTTAGGTAGGTACGCAGTTGAAAGCTCGACTAAGACCAATCCCAGTTCGTAATATTCCAATACTTCCAAATTAAAATAAACGAATTGATGAAAACAATATTTTTAAGACCCACTTCCAGGGATTATACCTGTGATTAAGTTATCACAGATGGACCGAGAAGGATGTGATCATGAAAGAGCAATTAAAAATCTATTACTCTGCACGTCTTCAACACGAAGGTCACTATGGCCTTTACCTAATTGATCAGTTAATAAGCAAACTACTATGCGCACGGTCACACGATGTCCACATGACAATATTAAGCCCCTAAAGAAGACTGTAAACGACTAAGAATAAAATTTTATGCATGCTTGCATTTAGAATGTTATTGTTTCTGAAGCGCCACCTAAATAGTGTCATTTTGTTATAAGCCTACACAGCAAATATTTACGTCGTTAAAACTGTTGTATTTATATCACGTTTCGGCGATAGAGTTCAGATAGAAAGAAAATACTGTGATTCATATTTTTAATGAGATACATTAACTGAAATCAATAATGAGGAGACTCAATCAATACATTCAATTTAACCAAGTGAAACTATTGAGTCATGTAACAACTTACTTATTTTTAGAAACAGTTCTTTGTACTGATCCAGAGTTTTGATTTAGTTAACTGGTTATTGAGCGTCTTGGCATGAGCGGTTCTCGTGTGAACTCAAGTTGGCAACGGTTTTAAGCTTTCCTTCCGGTGTTTGGCTTTGGCATATTGACCCTATTAGCCCAGTCCCGCTAAACGGCGTCAACTTTCGTTTTCAAAGCGAGATGGATATTTTACGGAATATGTAAAGCGCGCGCAGTGATACCAATTAGCGCTCGCTCGCGCCAAAAGAGATGTAGCGACGTATCGTGCTCCTCCTAGAACGACTTCAACGCGCTACTGATTCCACAACATTCAGCACATTCTTGGACTAACGATCAAGTGTTGGATACGCAGACTAACTCGATAATCATATAGAAATTGTTGAGTTAATTAAATTATTCTCACAACAGAATACCTATTATGACACTAAAATATCTCAGATTTTTGGTTTTTGCCTACGTTGTGGCTTAATCATTATTTCTACTATATTTCCTTACTAACTACGTCATCTTATGGTTCACTTTCATTAGAACTATTTGTTATTTTGTTAATGCACTTGACCACTTTTTACAAGCAGTAATCTTTCGAATCGGATCGGCAATACTGCACGCTCCGTGAAAGTTGGTAACGAGTGTGATTTGAATAAACGAGTATGCGATATCTTCGTAAGAACTTGCCGACCGATTGTTCGGCTTATTACTTAATTAAAAAAATAGTAAATAAATAAATGACCATCAGTATTTATTAAGTAGGGCGTTATTGATATAACTTAAACAGCTCTACAATTAATATTTTAGGCTTGCTATTAAATATAATGACATACTAAGTGAAGTCTTAACCGTTCCATAAACTTCCAAATATTTACTACCGCATTTAGTTAAACAAACAATGTAAATGTCAGAGTGGCTCACCTTGACCGCGAAGTAGTCGCCGTGTTATGTGGATCCAAAACTTTTCGATATCATTTATGAGCACGATTGGTCGCAGAGTCGGGAGCAGCGGCGGGACGCGGTCCTAGCGGGAGCGCGGGCTGCAGCCAACTGGCAGCCGCCGCGGCTTCGGCCACGCCGGCATCTGCGTCATACAACTCGCCGCACGACCGGAAAGTGCTTTCTCTCACTAACATTCTTCTAAAATTAACTCTACACCCCAGCAATAAGGTTCACTAAACAAAACTCACCTTAGAAAATTCCGCGAAAAGTCATTATCCACCTTAGCCCGCAAACTCCACGACCGCTTTTCAGAAAACGCAAGCTCAGGGTCCCGCGTCGTGACGTCGTCTTCCCGCCTTGTCTCATCTGGTGTACTTTTCCCGCGTATAGAATTTCTTTCTTGACTGCCGATATTCAATATTATCGTATCCATCTAGTGTAAACAGAGAAAACTCAAGTGAAACTTAATAACGATAATAACAAAGTTAGCGTAGGACTATTACTCAAGTACTGTAACTTCATTACAGCTTCCTGCGTAGAATAGAGTTACAATTTCCCTTAAATGAAAATGAAAATTATTTACCTACAGGCAATGAAGAAATGAAAATTGTGTTAATGGAAAATTACGGGTAGAGAATAATACATAGAACTTAGTTATAAAAAAATTAATTTTAGGAACGTAACTAGAATAAACAAAGGAATAATTGTTGGTACTTAACTCACTTCCGGTCTATTAAGTAAGTTGACGCAAGTCTTAAGGATTAAATCCAGTAGATTCTGGCCAGTTTGCCTTCACTTAGACCAGTTAGTCCGTAATGATTAGGCTAGCCAAGCCCTACATTTAATAGTGGAAACCTGGCAGAATGAGTACAAATAGTCAGGCGACTTAGATAAATCTAGAGAATAGTGCCCTCATTTTCTAAAAGAACTAAGTACTATAATAACAACCGCGACATGACCATAAGAAATATTTCTTTGATTTTATTAACATAATTAATAAATAAATTGAGATAGGGTAGGTACCTAGTTGAAAATATAAATCGTATCCAAGTTTTTCAATTAAAGTTTTCCTTACATAAAGTTTCTATCTTGTGTGCCCAAAAAGCACGCCCAGAAGAAAATAACGAAGGTTCTGGGGTCCTTTAAATCCCGCGCTTTGTTCTGGAATTAGCTTAGTTTTATCTTAACTACATTTATATTGAGTTCAAGACGAAGAAAGTTCTTTCCCAAAGAGAAATCTCTGCTTTTTAAACCTCCTGTGAGACCACGGGCAAAGATAACATTTACTATTTAGATATAGCAATTAGGAGTTTCTATTTTATTGATGAACATTAATTTTACGATTTAACCGAGAGAGGGTTTGAACATTGAAGCACTGTATATCTCGAATTAAAACTAATATCACGATATTATTTAATTTTGAACCTAAATCATTTATTTATTTATTTATTGCAATAAAATACATCATTTAAAACAACAAAAAACTTTTAAAAACAACAAAAAACTTTTAAAAAATTCGTATAACCAAAAGCTACTACACTACGTTAAATAAGTTATTTTGTGATTCTATCTAATAATACTTAATAGTTATCCCCAGAATTATCTTTCGCATTTACTTATAATTATTTTTAAAATTTTATAATAAAAAACATACATTATTTTTCGCGTTTTATACAATGCATTAACTCAAAGTATTTTTTCTAAGGGCCAGAGTTTTTATAAATCTTAATGATAAAAACCCAACAACCCTGTCGTAGTCTCGTAGTAAAACAAAAGCGCCTACGGGTAACATCGTAGTGTCGTAGCAGTCTCATCGTTTTGTGCTAAAAATAGTGAAGATTTTTTTTGATAACACTTAGCGTAGCAGTCATAACTTTTCGTAGTCACGTAGCAAAACGACTTTTCCTGGATTTTGCAACGACGGATTTTTTGCATTTATCAATAGAAAGTCTTGTAAGTTCCTCGGATTATTTTTATTAATGAAGTGATTAAAAAATAATAATAAATAAATAGACTTTATTAAAAAGGGGTTTTGTAACAATTGTAGCACACTGTTGTAGGGACAGGAATCAGGAATAAATAAATAAATAAATAAGATGTTAAATCTTTGAGCACTCGACATAATTCTATTACGAAATTCATAGAGCATATGGTGCGGAACGATGTAACTACTAGTTTAGTGCAATGCCACGAGATGGCGTTACAAGTGCGTGTGAGGCAATTTGGATAGAGCTAAAGCATTATTTATTATTTTTTAAATTACAATCATATTTTTATAGATTTAGATGAAATGGCTCAGCGGCAACCAGAACGGGGATTCGGAATGGACAAAGAGTCTTTGAGCGCAATGTAAGTACATATTTGTTACGTGTGCAAATCCCGATTGCGGCAATAATAAATTACCAAATAGGGTCTGGCTGGATGTAATGGGAAACAGATTACACAACTTTTTAACTTAGAAGATATTTTGTGGAGTAGGTATACAGAATATTATTGTGTGGGCGTATAAAAATATTCTATGCAGTCGCAGCGATGCGACCTTCTCTTGGTTCGGTCATGGACATTCAGAAGCTCAAGGCCGCGGGAAAACGGTAGCAACGGCAGAGAAAGGTGTGGCCCTGAATTCTTATATCTCGGGATGTAATTTAAAATGTATTATTCTATTAATTAATCTTGAATCACTTCGTTCCCAAAAATATTTATTACTATTTTTTGTTTTTATTATATGTAATTTTGTTTTGCGTATACCTACTGCTAATATTAATTATACCTATTTGTCCACAATCTCCATCAAGATGAATGGACTTATAACATACACAAGAAATCCTCGAAGTCTAACCATCGACATCGTGGGAAAATCTCGTCAGATTTATATCGTTCATATTTTATTTTATTTCTGTCGAGTAATATGACCGTCAGGGACAACCCTGAAGGGAGCTCACTGCTCATGTAATCATCAGTGAAACCGCTGATTTCTCAAGAGTCTTTATTTTTAGTTTTCCACTTTATGAGGTTTCCGTTACATTTAAATCCCTGGATACCTACAAATTTGACCAAAATAGAAGATATTTAAGAAAATCTTGACATAAGGCATCGATGGTATCATTAGGAAGATTTATTTTTGAGCAGTTCTTATTTAGGTTTTCAGGCATAGTCCCGAAATTACACCCCTTGGGTAATTGGTATTAGATTAGAGCAGTAATTTAATAAATAAATGTCTACCTATTGTCTACTGCATTATTGATGAATTTTGAGCTACAAATATACAATACTCATTTCTCAGGCACGAGAAAAGATTAGACAAGGTTTAGGTAGGCGTTTTAGGACGAGAACTAAAATTACATTTAATGAGTTTCTAGAGACAAGGCAAAGAGACCACCATTCGTGTAAAAAAGTCGGATATCTTTCTTCTATTCTTTAGAAGTAACGTCCTAGAGGACTTGATAAGACTGTGTTTTATATTGCTGTAACAAGAACTCTGGACAAATAAAGTTAAAAATGGCCGATGCCCAAGCCGGGATGCGATTTTCTTTGTATTACATATTTGTATTTTCCCGCGATGACCTTGAATAACTGGAGCGCGTATTCCACACCATGGCTCCATTTACATTTAGGGCACAGAAACATTGAATATGCTGTGGTAACAGTTTGGCCGAGGGTTATGGTGCCGCGGACGCAGGCGCGCGCGGCGGCGGTATCGACCCGCGCGCCGGGAGGGTCGCCGGGCCGCGCAGGCCTCGGGGGCGGAGGGGCGGCCTGAGGGCGCGCGCTCGGCCCGGGAACCCTCACATTACGTAACGCAACACGCACAGCACGGCGCACAAACAATGTGATTTATTTATCTCTTCTTTTTCTACTGTTTTTGATTATACAAATTTTAGGATTAGCATCGTGATATTATTTTAGGTGTCGCGCGACTTTTTTTTGCTCACGTTTTAGATGTGTAGTGTAGAAGATAATGTCGGCAACTTTCCACAGCTACAGTGATATTTTAGTGAAACGTTTTTAACTAAATTTGTATTGCGCATTGAATTTGAATAATCGTCATGGACACAGTGACAAGGTGAAGAAGAGAACTCAGTGAAACGAATATTTAGATTTATTTATCAAACATCGGCTACTCGCTGTGTAATATAATCGATCGATCGGTTTAGTAATTTTAACTCTACAATCATTCGTAAGCCCGGGTTAAGATTATAATGTTATTTTTGGCAAGATGAAATTAAAAAACACCGAAAATCATAAAACAATATGAAAATTTGATGAAAATTTTCAAATCTATTTAAGAAATCTTGCAACGCTACGAGTTTTACAAGCTACGAAAATGACGATGGGTGAGTTTCTTTTCCTATTAACAGTTACCTACTTTAGCTCGTAAGAAAGCAGACATAAATCACTAATTGCTTAGCTGCATACGTAGCTACATTTGAAATTGTTATTTCATACATATGTTTCGGTCTGTTTGTTTACTTTTATTCATATGAACAATTTGGTCTACTTCAACATGAATAACATGACGTTTCTTATTTCTTACCAAACGCCGAATGCACATTTTAACTTTTTATATTATTTGTTATTAAATCTTAAATTAATGTTATGTTCATAATGAGGTATGTTTGAGTATGTTATCAGTAGGTAGTAAGTAGTGGATTAAGACTTTCGGAGGCACTTAAGCTTAGGTACAGGTTAGTAGACCCGCCCACTTCCTTTATTCGCATAATATCAGATTCTCAAAATATCAGATTCTTAAAATATCAGATTATCAAAATAGCAGATTCTCAATATAGCCAAAGAACAATCAAGACAACATTTATTTTTTAAATCAAATTTATTTTTAAATATGAGACAAACACTTATTGAAAACAAAAAAGATTCCCATAGATTTAAAATTATATGCAGCGGCAATCATACGCATAAATTATACAGGCTGTTTGGCGGAAGGTTAGACAAACTTCGTGGGTGTATAACTGTATAGGTAAGGTCATTTTAAGACTACAAGTTTGCCCATTTGACCCTAAAGCTATGTATTCACTAGGCAACATTTGTTGATAAACTGTTTATGACTAGTGGGAAACAAGTTTACCATAAACACAGGTTTCTGAAACTTGACCGTCCACACTTGCTCTCCACTTA